AAATAATGCATTAAATTAAATATTAATAAATCAAATTATATATTATATATATATGTATTTATTAAAACTAATTTTCTGCTACCTTTAGTGCATATTCAATTTAGTTTTACATCACAATTTGGTTTTTAATATAATAATGTATGAAAAGTATGTTATATTATTTCTAATTTATGTTCCACACTATTTCTTTGACAAATTAACAATACCCTTTCTGTATGAGGGTAACAAAGAAAAAAGGCAATTCATATATAGAACAAATTTTTTCGCATTTCATGCCTTTGCTAAGCCCGCGCGCTAAATGCTTTCAACTATTTGAAACATCTGCAGCATTTCCATTTCACTGCACCCAAAAAAAGAACAATCACAAACCTTTTATGTATAGCATATATACATATGTGTATGTGTATGTGTATGTGCATGTGTGTGTGTGTAATTCTTTATTGTTGTCGATCATCATCATTGATCACATGCGCAAATTGGATGCAGCTCAGTCATGCATGTGTTTTGATATAGGCTACCCAAATGATTAATCCGATGCCAACTTAATTTACCCTCAACAGCAACTGCTGCAATAATGATCTAGGTAAACAGTTTGTGTGATTTTCACACGCGCACACACACACACATACACAGTAGCCCACCCGTATTTGTTACCTTTCGAAGAGGGTATTTCGTCAGCCGTTTCTGGTTAGTCAGCAAAATTTTGCGCCGCTATTGTGACTTGCCAATTGGCATTTGGGATTTCTGGTCAAAGTCATTTTGCGCATTTTCAATTTCCCAAAAGTTTTCCATCATGCCAGCGAGCTCTCCACCGCCCAACAGGCTGCCTGCTGTTACACAGCTGCTTTGTAGTCTTAGCGCATTCAAGCTGCTAATTAGTCGGCATTAGAAGCATAAAATGGGTAGCTCCACCTCCTGCTGGAAGCTCCACGTTGGCGGCAAAAGCGCATTAGATGCTTCAGTTGTGTTGCTACTTAGACGAGAGCGACTCCAGCGAGGGTGTCTCGAGCTCAAAACGAGAAATAAATGCCAATAATTTGGTTTTCGCTCAGCTCAAACCAATCACCCACACCGTTTCCCTTCCCTTCCCTTCACACTGCCTCAACTCGGCTCAGCTCAGCTCAGCTGGTTGGCTGCCCTTTTTGGGGAAAATACAATTTAGTTTTTGAAAGGCTAACGAACTATTTCGAGTAGCTCTTCGGCTGAGGCTGAGGCTGAGGAGCTGCTGCTTTGGCCACTTGGCAAAAGTGCAAGCGTGGCGAAGGCAAAACCTAAGCAAAATCAGAGGCAAAGAAAAAAAAACAAGAAAAGGTTCAGCTTGAATTGCCATTTCCATTGTCGTTGTTGTTGTTGTTGTTGTTGTTATTTTTGTGTTTGCTACGTGCACACAAACTTAATTTGAAGTTAAAAATGTGGCACAAAGTGTGGCCAAGGGTGGCTCAGCTAGTGCAAATGCGAACGCTATCAAGAAGGCATCGACTTTATCTCATCTGGCCTTTTATAATCGAGTTAATTTGAATTTCTAACAAAGACAAACGGCCGAAAAGACAAGCGAATATGGAGCAAAGGCTAAATGTCATACGGATTAAGCTTGGGAATACTTTAAAAATATCAAATTATGAAAAGTAATATATAAAATATATTTAAGAAATATAAAATTATTAATCAAAAGTGATATAAGAGGTATATAATTAATTATTTATTTCATCTCATTTAAAGAATTTGTATTACTTTATATTAAAATACACTTTAATTATTTTAAATATTTATGTAAAATAACTCATAATGAATTGCTAGATTAAGCTAACACGGCAGAAGTTAAGCAAAGAGTTAAACTCACAGATCTAAAGTAAGAGTTTCATATTAAGGCACGTTATCAATTAACAGTCCACAGATACTCCATATACCATAGATACTTCATGTACCATAGATACTTTTTATACCATAGATACATTATAGATACTTTCAAAGCGCTAAAAACTTTATAAGTCATAGAGATTTCATAGTCCTATAAAAGAATTATCCACAAAGAAAATATGCGAAAGGAAGAGAGGAGATCACAGGCAAAGTAAAATAGAGATAACTAGAATATTGAATAAGGGAATAAAGTGAAAAGCTAGGAAAACAAAGCTAGGAAAGCAGAACAAAAGACAAGCGGAGAAGCAAACAATGCGCTGTAAGATCTATCCATACATTTTTAAAATCAAAGACCAGGCATTATAGACCAAAGACACTTCCTATCATATGATACAATAGTCATATGTAATATATAAATAGAAGAGCGAACATCACAAGCAAAGTAAAATAGAGACAGGTAGGATAAGGAATAAGAGAAATAGAGAAGAAGTAAGCAATGCGCAGCAGAATTAATCCACTGCAGGATTAATCCACTGTTATGGTAGCTCGTGTCATTAGAGATGTCGGATTTGTTTTTCGTTTATCTTCAATGCTTTTTTTTTCGCTCTCTGATCAGCTGAGACACGAAATAACCAAGTCGGAGATTCAACTGGTTTCACAACCCTTTGCTCACCATGTTGCCCCACGTATGAATGCTTACACAAATATATATACATATACTCTATACAAACACACATATATACTCGCATATTGCTTACTTTTTCCCCTGCATGAGATTTCACTTTGAAAAGTATTTGCCGCATGTGTCTGGATAACTTTGGTGCTGCTGTTGTGGCTGGCTGTGGTTTTTCGCTGGTTTTTTGTGTTTTCTTTTTTTTTTTTTACAGAACGTTTTGTACGTGCTCGGGTTTATGTGCATAGGATTTTCAATACGTCGCTATTGATTTTTATATAATACATAATTTCTTCAACATTCGCTTCTTTTTTTTGTCACTCGTTGACTGGTTGCCGTTTTGTTGTCGTTGATTATTGGTGATTGGTTGAGTGGGTGGCTCGGTGGGTCGGTGGCTCAGTGTCTGGGTGTCTGCCTGCATCAGTCTTTGTCATCGTTTATATATAGCATACGATTCGATTATGCGATTTAATCTGATTTCGCACAAACGAATGATTCAAATGCAAATGCAAACACATATGTAGGCTGGAATGAGGGACGCCTGCCTGAAGGAAGCAAACGGCATAGAAATGCGAGTCCTCAGCTTCGTTTTTACATTTATTTCCTCCATTTTTTTCTCTCATTTTTTTGGTTAATAGCTTGCGATATATAACAAGCAGATGAAAGCAAAAGATTTGCATTACAAAACGACAGGTAAGCCATTTGCAGAAAGGGTGAATTCCAATGCAGGCAGGAGGTGGCGATGGCATATACTCATGTACATATACACATGTACATACATGTGTATGTATGCGTGTACACACGACTTATAAAAGCCAAGCTGTGCGTACACAATTATAGCAGTGAAGTGGTATTGGGATTGGCATTGGAAATTGATTGGGTTTGCGGGAATGTGCTCGATTTAAAATCAAATCACCTGGTGTGTATGTGTATGTTGTTAGATAAATCTTTGTGTATGATGAATGAATGCATATTGCTAGCATGTTTTTCCACTCGACATTGCACTATAGGAAAAAAACCCGAAATTTTGGCATAAATACAATTTTTTTTTTATAAATTTTTAACCTTTTTTTTTTATTTTCCAATAATAAATATCTTAACTAATATAAAATGAATTTTTTAAAAATTTTATGGACTGCCCCTACTATATAACGCGGGGCTGCAAGTCAGCTGACCCAGAGTTGCTTTGTATGCAAAAAAAAGCGCGGGAAAAATTGTGCAACTTTGAAGTTTAGTACTGCGGTAAATAAAAATAAAATTTATAACTTTAAAAATGGAAAACATTACTGATGGTATGTACTATAAATTGTCAATTCAAATTTTTGAGTTCATTTGTTTACTTGTCTAATTGTTCAATGTTTTGTTGTTGTGTATTTTAGCTAAAAAATAACAAAATAGTTCGTGTTTCGTGGAACATAACTTACAAATAGAGGAGACTAGTGATGAAGTTTAATTGCAAACGTGTTGTCTGAAACTTCTATTATTAGAGACTTTTAACCGTTTTTGCTCCTTTTTGCTCCATTTCGAAAAAATAACGTTTTTATAGCTAAGTATGAGTTTACGCGCTCAGAGCTTCTAGACGTATGGGCAAGCAACAATCGCCAAGCAGACGCGGTGAAATTGTTTATGATTGAAAAAATTAATAATAATGTGGATGAAAATGTAGAAAACAGTATTTCTACCCAAGTAGCCCAGTTTATTGCTTTTGTTAAAAGATATTTGCCCAGATGTAACCGTAATCTGCATAGATTCAAAGCAACACATTCACGGTGGGTCGAGGGCAAAATATTTATCAACTTAAAAGAAGTTAAGTCCTCGCAAGATAAAGCTGGCCGTAAAGAACTTACTTATGAAGAAGCAGGCAGTCGGCTGAAGAGAAAATTAGCTTCTGATCTTGCAAGTCAAGAAGAACACACAACCCAACTGTTTATACATGCTGCATCGGTTTCAGCAAAAAAATGCAAAGAAAATGATATGGCATTCGTTCTACGAAAAACAATGCACAGTGAGAATGCGAGTGAGATAAGAAAGAAAATAGAAGGAAATTTACCAACTTCTATAGAACCATCTGAAGCATTGGCTTTTCTTATTGAAAACGAGTTAACAAAAGAGCAGTATGGAAACATTAAGTTGATCTGTAAACAACACGGATGTGATATTTTCCCATCTTATTTGGAAGTAGTGAAAGCTAAGTTGAAATGCAGGCCAAATGGAATATCAATTTGTGAAAAAAAAGCGGAAGTGCCTTTGCAGAGCTTACTAAATCATACAGCAGATCAGATTCTAAAGCTGCAAGAGGATGTTTTAGAAGTAGTTCCAAATGCAACGCACTATAAATTAATAGTGAGCTACGGTTTCGATGGATCAACTGGGCAAAGCAGTTATAAGCAATATTTTCAGAGTGATGAGTTCAATACTATGGATCATTCCCTTTTTGTTTCCACAATAATTCCCCCTAAGATTGACGGATGAACATAACCGAATAATTTGGCTCAATAGAACACCGCAGTCAATTAGATTTTGTCGACCTTTGAAAATCGAATTTGTTAAGGAAACCACAGCCGTTATATTGAATGAAAAAAATATTGGGAGGAGCAAATAAGAGGTCTTAGTGAGCATAAATATATATATAATAACAACACAATATATATCCAGTATGATATGCATCTGACCCTTATTGATGGAAAGGTTTTGAATATTGTAACGGGTACAAATTCGTGCCAATCATGCCCTCTATGCGGGGCGAAACCAAAACAATTGTTAGAAATTGCTGATTTTAACTCAGCGTGTTTTAAAGTGACTGAAAAAAATCTTAAGTATGGATTAAGCCCACTTCATGCTTGGATAAGATTTTTAGAGTTTGTGTTAAGAATATCTTATAAAAATGATTTAAAGAAATGGCGCATAAAGGAAGCAGATAAAAATCAAGTCGCAGCACGGAAGCAACAAATACAAGAAAAGTTATGGCTGGAAATGGGTCTTATAGTTGATAAGCCCAAACAGAACGGTAGTGGAAGCAGTAATGATGGAAACACCGCCCGAAGAGCGTTTTCAGATCCTAGAAAGTTTTCTGACATACTAAATCTCAATTATGAAGTTATCAGGAACTTTCATATAATATTAATTGCTATCTCATCCGAACATTATATAAATAGCGATAAATTTAGAGCTTTCTGCGTCCGTACATTTGAAATATATATGAATAACTATTCTTGGTATCCCATGTCCCCAACTGTGCACAAAGTTTTGATCCATGGATACCAAATAATGGATAGCTGCATAGTTCCTGTTGGTGTTCTCGGAGAAAACGCATCAGAAGCTCGAAACAAAATTTATAAAAATGACAGAAGGTCGCATGCCAGAAAGAGCAGTAGGCTAAACAACATCACTGATGTTTTTCACAGGGCATTAGATTCATCTGATCCGCTTTTGTCAAGTCTCTGTCTTAAAAAAAGACAGAAGCTTCACAAAAAATTAAAATTTCCAAGCGAAGTGATTGATCTGTTTGCTCTGATTGAGCCTCCGCAAATCGCGCATCAATTTACAAATGAAACTGAAAGTTTAGAAGCTGAAGATGAGGATGAGGATGATGCAAACAATTTCGACCCGAATATCGAATTGGATGAAGAAAATTATGATTATTGATGTTAATTTTTGGAGATGTGGTAATTATTGTAAAATAAAAATACAACTTTTTTTTTCATATTTTTCTTAATTTTACAGGGTATCAACGGAATGAAAATACACATTTTAATTTTTTTATTATATAATAAGCTGTACACATTTATTTTTATATGAAAATATGTAATGTAAGATATATATAATATATTTAAAAAATTTATGTCTGAAGTACACATGATTTCATTAATGGGTAACAAGGAGGCGGGGAGAAGGCGTGGTCAAATCGTAAAAAAAAAATTCGAAATTCTAACTTAGTCTATCTTAGGTGTATGTAAAATTTCAACCTCCTAGCTCTATTTTTAGAATTGATGCCAAAATTTCGGGCTTTTTTCCTATAGTGCATTGTTGAATAACGGCCTGATAAGGGGCTTCGATAACCAAAAGGCCCATTCAACAGAATCATCAAGTACATTCGAACAAATCTAAAGCGATTTCAATAGAATCCAAGTGAAAGCACTTGAGCTGGAAAATTGTATTCTATAAATACATATACATATATGTAGCTGTTGAAACTGTTGAAATTAAGTATGCATTTAATTTGTATCGAATGGAATATAAAACCAAAATACCAAACTAAATTCTCTATATGCAAAAAGGCGTTAAATCATTCGGGCATTCATTCAACTTACTTAATTTCTTTAATTATTTTTCTCTTAATTGAGCTGCGAGTGATGTTGCATCTATCATTACAGCTGCCGTTTTCCGCTCACGTTTCGTTTGACTTTGGCACAAAATGTCAAAAAATCCAACTGAAACATTTTGATGTAATTTGAAGAAAGCTGCAAGCCGAGGGCAAAGCCCACCACCCACTGAACGTTCTATGCCAACTAAGTGCGCATCAAATTTGAGTCATTTAACTTGACTTGAAAACTTTACTGCCAAATGCAGTCATTAAAACTGCCGCCAACTGGCAATTTCAATGCCCAAGCCCAGTCCGAAAAACCAAAAGCCAAAAACCTGCCAAAGCGACCGCAACAAACGCGAAACTGCCGAACGGCAATCAACTATTAAAATACAAAATACAAAAAATACACAAAAAAAAACGGGAGAGACCATAAAAAAGTCTAACATGAAATTAAATTGATGCCCCAAATGGAGTTCGTCCTGCCCAGATCCTCGACCGATTTTGGGGCATTTAATTTTTATGGCTACGGCTGGGCATTGCCGCAAAACTTTTTGCCAAAGGTTCAATCAGAAAACATTAAAATTATGTACAAACATTTTTTCGGGTACGGCATTATGTAGTATAAAAATATGCGACGAACATTTTGGGCCGTCGGGGCAGTGGGAGGAGGAGGAGGAGGGGCTGCTCCTGCTGCAGCTGCTTATGACCGGAAGTTTATGGAGCGACCTGCCGAGGCTATTTTATTGTCTGGAGGGGACTTTCTGGAACCGGCCAGATAAACGGCAAACGCTAATTTGAGTCTTTGTCACGTCTTACCATATGGAAATATTATTTGTAAATACTTTTATGTTTGGAACGTGACCAGGGACTGGGCGGCACATGTGATGCAAGTGGAATTGGATGATTGGGCTTTCGCTTATTGAAGACCCACAGAGAGAGAGAAAGAGAGAGAGGGGGGGACTCGACAGCACTTGTCAGTGCGTAAAAAGTTGCACACCCAGTTCAGTTCAGCTGTGCTCGCCTGATTTTTTATTGTGGCGACGAAATCAAATAAAGCGCTCTCAAGTGCGTGGCCTTTTATATTAAAATTTATGTATATGGCGCAATGTTCGCGAAAATCCTTGGAAACGAAATGTCATCATAAAATTGCCAGACGACTTAGCGAACGAATAAATAAAAATTACTTCCAGATGACATATCAGCGCGAGTGCCACTGCTGACACCTTCAAACCTAATGCGCTTATAATACAAACTGTCGCTGGAACAAAAGGAGGCTGCGTGTGGATTTGGAGCTCGAGCTGTCGAGCTTGTGCTGCTGCTGCTGCTTCTGCTGCTGCTGGGCATGAGTAGCAGTGGGACCCCAAAAAACCGGGACAAATTGAAACGTTCTCGAGTCTGGAAAGTCGAAAATAACAAAACGGCGTTGGCGACTGTCAGCTGCCTGGGCCCCGTCTCAGACGTCAACTTAACGTGAATAATTGTCTAAATCCCAACGACAAACACTTATTGTCCTGGATTAGCAGGCAGACGACTGCCATCCCAGCCAGGCACACGGAACAGAGCACAAAACGGGGCAAAAAACAAAAATGTGAGAGAAAGAAAAAACAAGTGAAAGAAAACTTTGTGTTTTTCTTCTGACTCCCCGCACAATTTGCCTCAACGGAGTGGCAAGCGTTTTAAGTTGAACATGCAAAGCGTTTGGTCAGCACTGGATCAGGGACAGGTAGATGTACAGGTGGGCGGCTACCTGGCTGTGTTTGCTTGCTGCGTTCTTTGCGTTCAATTAATTTGCGCACAATTTGGATGGCACCGGCCCCCGCCAAGTCCGTCAACTTTCCGTCTCCTGCTTTTTACCAACTACCAACTTTTTTTCTCAGCTAAATATGCAAAGACAAAAAGCAAACTTTAAGTAACAAAAGTAGTATATATACACCTGAATATATATATATATATATATATATACATATATACGTACGTATATATGAATGGTATAGTGCAAAAGTTTTTTAGCCAGCTTGCAGTCGACCCAGACCCGGAGCAGGAGCCGAGCCCGGACAAAGGAAGACCGCTGTGCGCAAAAGTTTCGAAAACTAGCCGTAAAACCCTCGCTGAGGCAAGCGCCACTGAGTTAACGGCTAAAGTTATCACTAGGAGGGGAAGGGGCAGCCGCAGCAGTCGGCGAGAGCAGGTGAGATTCGATTTCATTGATATAATAGCTGCTCGCCATTCAAGTGTGTGCCAAGGCATAAAATGGCAGCTCAAAGTTAGATTATGACCATGAGAAAGTGAGCATAAAATATAAATTTAGTACACAGGAAGTGGAGCTTAAATAATCAATTAGAATAATTATTGTATGTAATTAATTAATCAATTTTTATACAAAAATGTTTAAAATGCGATACAAGAGAATAAATGATAAGATATATAATAAAATAGAAAATATATGAAATAAAAACTAAATAAGGAAGATGAAATAAATAAATTATATAAAAATAAGTATATAAGAAATTAAATACATTAATAAAAATTAACAAAAAATACAGAAATAATAGAAATACATAAATGAGTTAAATATATTAATAGTAATTTATATTAATTAATAAATGAGAAACATATGTATATTATATGAAATAATAAATATCAATTAATTAAATAATAAATTTAATTTAAAAAGTGAGCTTGCTTTAAATATACAATACAATAAAATTATTGTTACGATATATAATAAAATACAAAATCTAAATTAAAATTTATATATAAATAGAATAAATTCTTTATAAATCAAATAATAATAAATCAAGAAAATAAAATGTAAAAAATCATTTCCATATGACCTGATATAATGATGATGATAATTTATATACGCCTTTCCATATTCATATATATATATATATATATAGATTGTATATATAGAATCTAATCAGTGACTGGCAGCCAGCATTGAGGTTGTGCAGCTGTCAGAGGATTAGGCTTATCGCAGCTATTAACCTTTCGCCCTATCACACACATCGAAACCAAAATAGAAACCCTTTCGCATGCTTAATTTAATCAAACAGAGGCGTGCGATCATTAGAAACACATTTCAATACAAGAACTACCTCGTCGGGTGCTCAGGTAAAACAGTCTCGATAATGCCCGAACAGCAACACAATTGCACTTCATCAAGGACACAGGAACTGTGCTAACAAGCCAAAAAGGAAACCGGTTATCTTGGCTAAATTTGTGAGTAGCTCTCTGTCATAGATATGCAAATGCTAGGTAATGGCTGTTTTTTATGTGACCCGCATAGCTATTCACACGCCGAAAAAGGATATGCGAGATATATACAAATATATATATATATATATGCAAATGGCATCTGTACGGGGGTAGCTGAATAGTTGAGTGCCATAAGTTGGGAGGGAGGGTGTTGGGGAGGTAGGTAGGCAGCGCGTGTGAGTGAGCGAGGCGACAAATTTCGCCGCCTGTTTCTAATGTCCTTTAAGGCCCAGGCTGCGTGTGACACACACACACACACACACACACGCACACAGAGTCGCCACGGCACGGGTCCTGGGCAGTGCGGCTATCGGCTTTCAAAACTTTTGCCCAGCACGGCCTTTAAGCAACGAATTTCAATTAATAGCCATGCGGAGACCAAGCTGAGAGCCACTTCCTGCCTTAGCTGCTGCTGCTGCTGCTGCTGCTGCTACTGGCTCCTGCCTAGCTGCCTAGCTGCCTCGATGCCTGTCTGACAGTAAGCCCAACGGCTAGAATCAGCTCAGCTGTTGTGCCATCCATAGACCACCAAGTTCACTAGACAATTTATTTTGCTTTCGATTTTCCAAGCTGTCACTTTACGCTTAAATGCGCACAGTTCAATTTAAAATGGTACCAGGGATGATATACCAGCCCAGAAGCAACAGCAGCAGCAGCAGCAGCAGCAGCGGAATGGCCTGGCCTGGCCTGGGCTGCAGTCTGCTCTCAGTTGCCGCCGTTTGACGCAGCCAAACTAGGTTAAGAGGTTGTTATCCTTATGCCGTGTTTTTTGAAAATAGGCAACCTCGTCCTACGTCGGCGCCTTTCGCCTCGACTCGGCTCGGCTCGGCCTGTTTGTGATGCCTTCATATCCGCTGCAGACACATGAAACGTCCTGCTGCCCAAACCACAGCAGTCTGCATTGCCACCGCAAAGATGAGGCAACATCATGATAATGATGATGATGAAAGCCTGGCTGAGGCTGATGATGATGAAATTACGAGCGCAAAGCATTTGCATTCATTATGTATAACATTTCGCTTTATTTTGCTCCCCATCTTCTCTTTTTTTTTTTTTCTTTCATAATTATACCCTGTGCCCGCTCTGGGCGGCAACTACAAGCGGCCAGAGTCATAATTATATGGAAAGATTTGCCAAAATAATAATTTAGCTTTAGACAGAAACGAGTAAGTGCAGCACAGGGTGTTCCCAAGTCGGGC